ACCAATCGCTGCATGAAGTGGGTTTAATTGTCAGATAGTTGGTTTCAGAGAGTTACACCGTTCCAACACCAGAGAGGCGTGGGGCGGAGGGGAGTTTCAGACACTGTTGGGCAACCTGTCAGGCACGTCAGATTCTGTAGTATCCTGACCCTTTGCCCTAAAGACAAGTGTATAACATTCGAGCTCTGGGCTAAATCACACACACGAGAGGGGGACACCAAGCAGAAAACAGAGCAGGCTGCATTACACGCTTCCAGACCATTAAAGTGAGGAGTGTTCGTGAGGAATAAAAGGTGCACACTCACCCCCCCACCCCCTGCACTGTTTATGGTTCTTAGTGGAGCATGAAATGACTAAATACCAGCATCACTTCTCCTCTCTGTCATCCTCCTTTGCAAATTTCTCATTCATAACTTTCAGGAAAGGATGAATGACTGAGGAACACCAAGGTTAGAGTAGAATAACTTTGTCTGTCATTCAGAAGAATGAAAAGTGTGCTTATAAACCAGTGATGTGCATCATCAATAAATCAGATGAACCGACCACAAGCATAAATATCTTACTGCGCCCTACTTAAAGAAGGGTACTGTATATTAATATTAAAAAAAAGTAAAGCTTGTTTACAGTGAGGCAATTAGACGCCTGTGATCAGAGAGTTACGGCAGGAATGTCTGAAAGGGTCAGCGGCACCATTACCAGAGTAAAGGGCACAACCTGGAACGCTCAGAGATATCAAATCACAGCGGCGGGGGAGGGACAGTCTGCTAAACAAGGCTCGGTTGGAGGCTGATTCCATTAATCAGGCCTACTCTCATACTCATGTCAGGAAGCGCACAAACATATACGACCGCTAACAACCTGATGCACGTTTGCTGTATGTGACGCCTCACAGTCACCCCTTAGCTCCAGTGTCAGGAGTGTAGATGTACACATAGCTTTGAGGATTAAAATAGAACTTTATTATTAAACATGTAACATGCGAGGGGAACAGGTGTGCGGTGAAGGGTGAAGGAAACACACCCTGAAAAGGCAATTTCGCCATTCTCACACCAGCACATATGAAACGCTGGCATACGTGTGAACATACTCCGCATGGTCTCCCAGAGCAGTTTCACAGGGTTGTGTACGATTAAAATAAGGCACTGGGTGAACATGGCGAGGCCCCCAGAGTTCCTCATACATACGTGATGTGTCTTGGTGCATGTTTCATACGGGTTAAAAGGCAGATCTGCAGCTCTCTATACACTGCAGCGAATACAGGGATCTGGCCACGTTCCATGTCCACAGTCATTTCCCACATCGTGGCACAGTGCTGGACTGGGAATAAACAGAGGAGCCTGCTGTGCTCTCAGAATGCATGTTTGCAGAGTTCCCATCAGTGAGTACACAGTAATAGGACTCCCTGAAGGCCTGTGTTTAACCTTTAGATTACAAGTGGTTGGCCACTCCACAGCCCACCCCTCCTCTTCCTCAGCTATTAACCCCTTTCTCACTCACTTTAGTCAACACAAACAGACTTCATAAAGGAAGCAGGATCAAATCACAAGACCTGAGGATCATGTGATATGATTGAAAGGTCCAAAACAGCTACTAAATGTTTCTGGTGAGCTTATTTTGTCAACTACTTTTTTCAAGGTCATAAATTAACTTGTGGTTGCAAATTCCGTAAAGTGCCTTAAAGTCAGAAAAACAGAGATATTTGATAATCTATGATTCCATGACGACTGGGCAAACTCAAAGATCATGTTTTATGTTTGAAAGCTCCAGGACAAGACTTTGTGGTGAGATTGTTTAGTCAAAGAAACAAAAAAGCTTTCTCCAGCATCACTCAAAACCATCCTAAAATTTAAAGTCCATCTAAAGCCACAATTAAAAAAAAATACCTTTCTGTTCTTTATTTTGCAAATGTACCAGTTTGATCGCAACTTAATATGGTGAGCAGGTCTCCACAGAAACTCTCCAAACCAAAAACCCTCTATCTGTATCATTTTTCTGTTCTGCAGAGTAATTAAGGGAGCCAACACTGTATTTTAGGACCAGCTGTTTTTATTTGGTCTATGTTGTGTTACTGCAGTAAGCATAGCTCTTGTCTTAGAAGACAGCACACAATATTTTGGCTGAAGTTTAAAAACATATCTTGAATTTCGTGAAAGAAAGAACCATATGATCCGAACTGTGATCTAACTCCGGGCCATGCATTTAGCCTGTAACTGCACGCATGCTTTGTTTAAACTTGTGTTATAGGTGTGAAATCTAACAAAATTTGTTTTGAGTGGAAAACAGTAAAAAAAAAAAAAAAAAAAAAAAAAAAAAAATCAGATCAGTGGGGAAAATCTTTCCCTCTCTCTCTTTCAAACACACAAACACAGAAAGACAGGGAGAGAGTCGACCTGACTATATAAACGGATGAAGAAGAAGGATCAGAGTAGCCTAATGCTGAGAAAATGCCCTTGGGATATGCTGACAAAATGGAAACGTGTGCATATGGGAACAGCATAGGGGATTAAGCTGTGATAAAACAGTGTGATGCAGTGTGATTTATTTTTTCTTTGTCTTCCCTCCTCTGAACAGATTTAGTAATCTGCAACAGGTTGCTCCCTGTTTTGAGCTGCTTCACGACACAGAAGCATAATTTTATCCTTTCGCTTATATTCCTTTCAGCAGCCTTAATGTAGAACAGCCCTGCACATCAAATAAATGTTCAGTCTGCAAAGGAATGCTCCCGCGTCCCAGTCAAACTTCGCAACAGTGATATTGTAGGCGTTCACTGCAAGTAACTATCACCATGTTATAAAATATATCTTTGTGGAGAGGTCTGGATTTGAGGTATTGATATAACAGGCACCATGCTTTACCAACGAGCCAAAGCTTTTCTGACAGCATCATACAGGCGGTTCATTGTCAAGGCCGCCGGTATCTAGAATGCAACTGCCAGCTGTTTTCTTTGTGGATCAAACCAAAAGAAAACAGCAGACCAAGGTCAGCACAGACAGGCTTTTCTCCTATGGCAGACAGATGAATCTCCATATACGAGGCTGTATAAAACAAAAACTCTCTGTCACAAATTAGAGAGCACAGCTGATTATATTCCACCCTCTTGTGGAATAATCAGCCATTCTCAAAAATTCCTGAAACCTCCCATTTATTCCAGTACCGCTGGGTGTTTGTGGATCATTTGAGGATCTGTGTCCGTGTGAGAGCTTGGTTGGGAGGGTTATCTCTCATGTCCAGCTGCCTTGTTAGTACATACTAGACAGACTCAGATGGACTGGCTTTTGAGAGAAATATCAAGCTGTCCTGGGGCCATATAAGATGCCAGTGATGCTGATGCTGAAACTGAAAGGACGTAATAAAGTTACAGTCCCCCTCCGCTCCAAAATGTGTTTTCGCTGTTTTGTTTCTTTACTTGGATGTTTGACCATCATTATGCAGAATAATAAACATTTGCAGAGTTTGACAAGGTTGTTTTTAAATTCATTAGCTGAAGGGAGCAAGTCTCTCTGTGTTTACATTAAATCAGAGTTTAAGATGTGTAAATATAAGCATTAGTTTGTGATGTCACAACTGATCTGGAAGCCAGTTGTGGTCCAGCATGCAATTTATACATGTGGAAACTTGAAGCCTCCAGTGCACATACATTGAGACATGTTTTGACTTTACAATGAAGCTGGACGCATGTTGGATTAAGTCTAGTGGTTAATATTCTGAAATGAGCAATACTTTAATATTCATAGATTCAGTTTTTTTTACTGAGGGAGAGGGAGTAAAGCAATGCAAGAGGTTTTTCTGAAACTGTATCAGATGTAATTCCCAGCAAACTATTTTTTTTGCTTTGTCAAACTCTTATGACACAGTAGAGAAAGAGTGAGAGCTTTTCAAGTAAAAGGTACTTGGCAGTGCACACTCAAAAGCAAGCATGAAGAGTAAATAAAAATCTTAGGTTGACCTCCTCATTGACTTTTGACAATCTTTTCCATTTATGGTTCCTATCCATTAACTACCCCCCACATGTCTAACCATTTGGCATTAGTCTCAACTGTGCTGCCAGCAGCATGTGGGTGAGAGATTTGAGTTTCACACAATAACACCTGATGCTCCCTGTGTTGTAGCTGCCAGCAATCACATCACGAACCCCTAACCAGTGTCATAACACAAAAACTCCTCAGCTATTTGAGCGTGCTCACTCACAACTATCACAGCCAAACACACCAAGACATTTAAGACTTTGTGTTGATATTTATGTTCTGGTTCTCGCCCATCGGCTTTTCCAAACTCCTCTGGGTTCACGCAAAGTTTGCAGGCTGGGTTGAGGATGTGTGTGCACTGGCTGCCACATTCACTAACTCCTATCAGTGGAAAAGAGGCCCCACACCCAGTCACAGGCTCACTGCTCATGAGTTGTGCCTCCGCGTAAAGAGTCAGAGCCATCCCCTGTTTTTTCCAGCATTACTAGAGACACTCACACGCAAGCCAGCAAGCCTTAAAATACAAACACACCCAGGTAAATAACTGTGTTTTCAAAGAAAATAAGTCCAACATCTCTTAATGCAAGGGTAGCTCCTACACACACACGCACGCACACGCACGCACACGCACACACACGCACCACACACACCGCACACACCACACACACACACCACAACACACACACACACACACACACACACACACACACACACACACAAGCTTGCACTCAGACTAGGTCTTTAATGACCCCCTTGCCCTGCTATCACCTTGCGATAAAGACCTACTGGGGAGGGAGGAGGGCTGTTTCGTGTCAGCTCACACCCACTTTTCCCTTTAAAAGAGAGAACCTAACAACAAACTCTGCACAGGCTCAGTCATAAAAAGTTTATAATTCTCTAACAGGGAAATAACAGGTTATTCCTGGCATCATATCAATAGGTAACCAGAACTGCAGCGTATTCACATCAATGATTCATGAAGCACCACACGGTTAATGAACACAAGGGTATAATCTGTATAAGAGCTGTACTTACGCTCTGTCCCACTCAGCTGTGGCACAAAAACTTCCTTCAGATCTAAAAAAGGTTTCCTTTAGGTGTCACAGACAGATAGATTCCTCCCCCAGGAAGTGTCAGAAGAAAATCCACACAAACAACAGAGTTTTAACGCACTAGTAGATGACAGCTCCGTGTCCGCAGGTCCACACACTCCCTCTCTCTGACACAGTGTCGTACTACAGCCTGCCTCTGGCCACTCAACACACTGGAGCTCCTCCCATCACACACTGTCAGAGAGGGAGAGAGAGAGAGAAAAGGGAGGGAGACATGAGGGAGTAGAAGGGAGGTACACTGCTACAGGATGATCTTGACTCATGTTTTACTTAAAGGTGCTGATGTAAATGTTACATACTTTAGTATTTTTTAGGAGCAGATCTATTATTACATCTCGAAGACCGTTTTACTCAGTATAATTAGGAAACTATTAGAGAGGGCTAATGGCAGAGGAGCGATAAAGGCCGAGTGTTTTACAGAAGTATCTGTATGTTATTTGCTGGATTTGAACCTGTGCAGGAAAAAAAAAAACTCCAATGTGTCCTGTGATTTTCTGGTCACAAGACTGTTGACTGTCCACTTTTTGGGAAATTACTGCCTCCTCATTCAAAAGCAATATACTAAAGTTACACAAGGAAAACATTTATGCAGTGTACCATGATGTGGCTGAATTTATGTGAGCGGCCATTAAATGAGACAGAGGCCTAATTGCACTGAATGTAGCCTTGGAGCTTTTTTTTTTTTTTTAAGCTCTCCTGGGAGTTGGTTCCCTTGTTATGGACTGCAGATGTTAGCCTCTCAGCCAGCTGCTTGCACCCATATAAAGACTGCCTTTAATGATTGCAATTACCAGTAACTTCAAGCTACCGGAAGATAACCCAAATCTATCTGTTCTAAATCAACACAGATGCAACAATCTTAAACGCATGTATTTCTCCAGACAATGTCAAATTAACTTAATGATACAATCTACAAAATATGGCTTGCGCTATGATATAGTGTAATGGCCAATGTCATATCTTGCTGAGATCTGGATTCAGAATTCATCAAAGGCACGTGAAGAAAATGCTGAGAGCCGATGTATGGTGTTCTGCCACAAAGCAGTTCTAAAATAATTCACACAACACCGGCAAGGACGAAGTTTTCAGGCCATGACACTGAAAGTGCAACAGAAGTGATGCAGCAAAGTCTCAGAAGAGGCCATTTCATGAATTGTAATGGGGACACTCAGCTCTAGTGAACCACATACTGCCCTTTATGTTTTATAAACAGAGCTTGGATTTATTTAAATCTCAATAAAATGTATAATAAAACTATCTCAAGTTGTTAATAAACCTCCAACATGTCATATGAATGTGTTCTAATATGATTGTAGGAAGAGAAGCAATTGTACAGTACCAGTCAAAAGTTTAGACACACTTTCCCATTCATTTGAATAGGAAAGTGTGGTGTGTGTAGATGTTTGATGATATGCCAATGAATGTTCACCAAAGTATTTTGAAAGTCCTTTAAGTTAAAGCGAAGTGTTACCAAATAACTTCACATGCCTTCTCCAAAAATATTTCCAGGGTAAATAGAGAGAAGTGTAAGATAGCGGGGTGTTGAGACGGGGACGCCTGTTTCTAAAATAGCAGATGCTAATTATACATTTTAGGCAACAGCTAAGGAGGGAGACGCGATGCCAAGTTTGAGGTGTTGGGATTCTGAATGTCAGCTCAGTGTTTCTGTGCAGAGTCAAGATTCCACGTGGTCACCTGAGACGTACTTAGGCCACAGCTAGGATACTCACTGGATGTCTTATTTACAGCTTATGTCAGTCATACACCCCCCCCCCTTACTGGACTGGTAACTCACCTCTTGTTGAGTTGGACCACCTGCCACTGCCATGCAGGCGACCTTTTGTAAACAATCCATAGAATATAAAGGACGCCGCCAGCAGACGTCTAAACACGTGGCTCAGACCAGTCAAACAGAGGAAGACTGGCCTTTTTCATTGCTTGTGACCCTGTTAATGTGGCTGTTCTCAAAATGTCTCTTTTCATTGCCTCCACTCTGTGTGACTACTACACAAAGTGCACCCCACCAGTTACAATTAGAAAACTCAGAAATACTCAGTGGTTGGTAACGGTCGAAAATTACTGCACATTAGGTTTTTGGTGAGAATGGGATATTTAGTAGATGGCTGGATATCACCCATACACTGAACATGTACAGAATTTGTTGCTTTTTACTGGAAAATGAAATACAACCCTTGCACCCATTGATGGGTGCCTCTTAAAGATCGTAGAATATTGTGAAAATGTTTCTAATATATGTTTTTTTATTAATGGTAATTTGTATTTCTCTTGTAAACTTTGGTATCATCTAGAACTAAAAATGGTATTTGTAAAAAGTGATTTGAAAAAAATGTGTTGTGTGTTTAAAATCCATGGGGATCTATAAGTCACAAGATGATCAATAGACTGTGTATAAGGAATGAATGGTGCAACAAATTTTAAATTTGATGATTAGATTTTCTCAAAAAGTGACTATGAGCTTCTGTGATTCCAGTGGACCGCATGAAAATGTAAGTTTGATCCTTCTTCTCAGCATGCTTCACACACAGCTGGCAGAAGTGCTGACAGGTCAATCTATATGAATGAATAACAATCGAGGAATTACAGCGCCGCGATAAGCCCTCATGTTTCACATATTAGCTTAATGGAAACCCGCCAGATAGCAGCAGTAGGCTACTTAAGAGTCACGGAGGCTGACAGGAGCGCTGAAGACAACTGAGCGACCCTGGGACCGAACTCTCAGCTTCATGTTATCACCTCGACATTCAGGGGTTACACTGTTTGACTGTGTCATGGAGATGAATCTCAGTTTTACTGCAGGGATGTGTTTGTTAACACAACACTGTCCAATGTGTTGAAGCGCTGTAATTTTGTGATGCATGTGTCAGATGACAACCAACTTTGTTCACTTCCTCTTTCTTGTTTGCCTTTATCTTAGCTGCTATATATCATAAGAGCAGTATAAAAGAAACTTCACATTTGAAGTTAACATGCTCTCTGCCTTTCTCTGCCGAGGCTGCCGAGGCTACCTATGGCCTCATGAGAGTAAAGTGCTTCCCTCTGGAGGACCAACCTCTTTCTTATTTTTTACACTAAGAGGATAGCACAACACCACTGAGACCTTTACAGTTCTAAATTGACTGTGAACAAGAAGTGAAAAATATTTCACCTTTTAGCAGAAAACACTGCTGTGCATCTTACAGGTTGTCAGTAGTTGCGTAGTAACGGCAGGGTCATGGTCAACACTTATTTCAAGCATCTGTTCAGTGCTAGCAGCTAAAGGGAAAATCCCAGTAAACAAACTAAATGAGTTCTAAAGCAAAACAGCGACCAGAGTCACAACTAAGGCGTTAAGGCCTTTCTTTGTCCACACACCACTTACAGTTACCCTTTGGCCTGATTTTTCAGCCCCAGTCTAAACGTAAAACCAGGTCACTGTAAAAAACCGAGGCTGAAGTGTCATTATTTGTACATGGGATGGAAGTAGGGTACAGTTTATCCTCTCAAGTAGCTTAAAGGTTGTTAAAATCATCTCATACCACACTGTCTGACAGTATCAGCTTGTTCCAACTCTTCATGAAATCTATATGATATTTACACTGAGAGAAACAGAGAAGCTTCAGTCGGCTGCCACCTTTTTCTCCTTTGATGACAGATTTAAATTTTCACACTAGAACACTCGCTTTCTCCATCTGTAATACACACTGTTACTTTTTTGGATTCAAACCCAACACCCTCTGTCTATTATCCATTAAAAATATTCTATTCTATTCTATTCTTATTTCACCGTCATTCAGCCTGACATATTTAGTACCTTTGGAAACACTGGGTTCTGCACTTGAATTCAAAATGAAGTTTTGTGAGGTTTGGATGTAAAGAATAAGTTTGTAATGACTGACCCACTGTCGAGCCACTGCTTGTGATAAAAGTCACAAATATCTAACATTTGTTTTTGCCTATTTTACCCTTTGGGGGACCTTAACCATCTTGGATTATCTTTAAACTACAGCTTTAAACTACAGGTTATTAGTCGATAGACAGACAAATTTTGATAATCAATTCATCGTTTATGTAAATTTTCAAGAAAATATACAAAACAGGTCTTCATTCCAGCTTCTTGATTGTGAGGATTTGTTGCTTTACTTTGGCTTACGTGATGGTAAACTAAAAATCTTTTAGGTTTTGGAGAGACAGTCGGTCAAATCCAGACAATGGAGGGCATCACCTTCAGTTTAAGAAATTGTCATGGGAATTTTTCACCATTTCCTGACATTTTATAAACAAAGTGATAAATAAAGTGGTCAGGGAGATACTGTAACTGGGAAATGACTTGCTAATGAAAATAATCATTACTTGCAGCCCTACTTTAAATCTGAATTAAATCACGGTTTGTTTTATAATTCTTTTGAACAAAGACCTCATTTTAAACTCAATGGGACACAATTATAAGCTTTCCTATTTGGAGTAAAGGTGAATGAGCTGTCCGGAAAAGCACCAGCTGAGATGGCACAGTGTGACCCACAACTGAGGTGAGTGACTCATTCTGGCATTGAGTTTTAACTGGTTCAGCACATAGGATGGTGTGTAATATACCTAGCATATGATCAATCACGCTCTTCTCAGATGGTCTGGTGTATGTGGGAGGTTGGGACTTTTCATCTTGTGCTTTGTCTGTTTGGCAAAAAAAAAAAGAAAAAAAAAAAAAATGGAGCTGTGATGGCTCTGCATGACAACCAAAGGCATTACTCCAACACCTCTGACGCCGTAGCTCTCCAGCAGAGACGGTTTGTGGGATGAGTGCCCTCTGGCAGGGAGGTGATGCCAGTGAACAATCCCTAGGGTGTGTGTGTGAGAGCTTTTCAGCCATCTACGTGACTCACTGCTGGTCCTTTCATTAGACTGTTGCATACATGCTCATTTTCTCTATGTCACCATCCTATCTATTAGTCACTTGTCTGAAACCGCTACTGGAGTTCCCAGCATTACCAGTCACATGTCCACTAAATCATCACACTGTATGTGTGACTTTCATATCATGCTCTCTTTCAGGAGTTTGCACTGCACATGGATCATTTTCCCGCAATCCTTTTTTT